GAGAGAGAGAGAGCACAAAAATGTGTTCCTGGCTGGAAGTGCAGTCTTGAATCAGCACCATCGGTTTTGTGAACAGGTGTTAGTCGGTGATCGCCTTGAAAAACATCCAGTACAGAAAAAAATCTAATAGACTAAGAATAATCTTTCAAAAATTCTAATGAACAGGCACAGTCTGCTATTAATAACTTCTAATATTAACCCCAGGATGCTAAGTGGACTACACTGCAGTATGATTAAAATAAACCAGGCAACAGGCCAACTCGCGTATTCCCGCCAAAAGCCCGGGCAAGCTCCCAATAGACTGGTTATCCAGCTGTAGTACTAAAACAAATCACATTCGCGATGTCATGACTTTGCGATGGAGCAATCAACGCGAATACCGCGAAAATAAAACCACCACGAACATTACAAGATTTACAGTATTCTATTAACTATTCTTGCCATGCTATTAGGGGCTTTGACTTCTTCTCAGGAGGCAGTGGGAGATGAATTTAATTTTTTACTGTTATGGTGCAGACAGGGTTAGCCGAGTGGCAGACAAGAGATCAAGAGGTCATGGGTTCTATTCCTGGCGTTTCTGGCTAGATGTTGTGTCCTTGGGACTTCCTCTTACTCCACCCAGGTGTAAAATGGGTACCTGGCTTTGGTTGGGGAGGTAAAAGGCAGTATAAGGAGATAGATACCGTGCTCTAACTAGACACAGTGAACCCTTTGAAATTACTGCCTTGAAAAGGCTATGGAACTACATGTACTTGTTCAAGTTTTAAATTACTTTAATTATCTTAACATCCGTGTCCATAATATCACCAGGGTCCATAATATCGCCACCTTGAGAAATAGACTAAGTGTGCTTTAAGATATTTTTACTGCAACATACACTAGGTATGTACATTTGAGGTGTGCAGGAGTGAATACCGAAAATATGTTGTAGTAAAAATATCTTAAAGCACACTATTTCTCAAGATGGCGATATTATGGACCCTGGTGATATTACGGACACGGATGTTAAATGTGTTGACTATTGCTGAATTCTTATTTACCTGTGGCAGAAACTTGAAGAAGAAATCAAAGGAGTGAGCGAGACACTTGTGGACCTGGAGAAGGAGTTGAAGGAGACAGAAGCCAAGCTGAGTAAAGCTCTGAAGGACTCCAACCCTTCTCCTGTACTGGGGAGGAAGGCAAGACATTTTCTTCATCCGTTTCTAGTTTTACTCTTTGTGGATACACACAGATAAAATGTACAACAGTAGTAGTAGTAGATTATATAGGATGATCTTCCATACATGTACCTTACTTATATCATTACAGTGGTTCATGTACAATGTCTGTAGCTGATGATATGGAATATAACAAACACACATAATGATATTAATGTTTTATGAACACATTCAACACTATCATGTGAATGCACTGTGAAGAACCAACATTGTCTTAACTGAATTAATTGCAATAATTGTACAGTTAACTGCAATATAGCTCCTCGGCTATGAAATTGTATTCAATTTGTTACTTTGTGTGATATAGATTGAACCAATTGTTCTTCTTAATTATCGTTTACAAAATTTGATATATTTGACAAAAAGATAAACAGCATCAGTGTAGGGGCAGAGTATTTGTCATAATTATTGAGCTTATTGTTTGAGTTATTAATATAGGTAAGTCTTTGCTGGTTAGATACATGTAACATCACTCTTATTCTGTTATAATTGCTTTGATGTGAATTCCATTTTGCTCTTAGGCCACACCAATTTAATCTCTTGGTTAACGGATTCGCCCGCTTCATTTTTTTCTGATTTGCAAATAAAAATGAAAATCAGAATCAACTGCAAAATGCTCATATTTTGCCCTGAACAGTTGAAAACAGTCTTTTTCATCCTTGTTGTTACAGTTATTCCATCTTTCAATGCAATGGTATCATTAAAAGTTCAAAAGTCATTGTTTAAATTTTGAACCAGCCTGGTGTGTTGACTTCATGACTCCTATCGTACCATTTTGGGCCATCATAGGATGCCTAGGCCTGTTTTTTATTTTATTTTTTTTTTGCCCGCCCACTCTATTTTTCTATAAAAATCCGTTAACCAAGAAATTAAATTGGTGTGGCCTTATGTCTGGATTTCTTGAAAAATCCTACAGGATTCTCTGAAGTTGGGGGGCAAAACTACCAGCAGCAGTCCAGCAACAACCTACAAGAGCTCAGCAGCAGTGTCTGTTGGCAAGACGGATGCCAGAAAGAACACACCATCCTCCAGCCCTGGTGTAGGGAAGAGAGTTAGTAAGGGGTCAGAGGAGCCGGTCAATTCTGCTGCTAAAGCCAGCGGGCGGCCATCGTCTCCTAAAACTGGCAAGAAGGCAGTGTTGGAAAGAGCTAAGGTATTCACTCACCCACTCACTCACTCACTCACTCACTCACTCACTCACTCACTCACTCACTCACTCACTCACTCACTCATACCATACAACCAAGAAACCATCCAACCATTCACTCAGTCAAGAAACCATCCAACCATTCAAATTCACTCAACCATTCATTTACACACTCTAATTAAATCACTTATTCATTCACTCAGTCTTTCACCCACATATTTGATTCATTGTTTATATTTTGCTTCTTCTGTATATGTCTGATGGCTGAGCAAAATTTGAAAATAATTTGTTTAAAAAACATCTTTTGCAACTGATGCATATCCTAATAAACATCAAGTATCTGACTTTGTAGCTTTCTGTAAATTTGCATACTGAATAGTGTCACTTAAGGGAAATAGGTTTCCTCTTCTGTCAAGATGAAAACTTACTTTACAGATTTTTTTAAAATCCAATTTTAACATCATTTTTAGAAGTCTTTTTTTTTAAGAAAGATTTTTACAGCTGGTAGATTTAATATTTTCTTGTGTTTTCTTTCAGCAATGGGAGGCCATGGGAGGAAATTAGAAGTACATCGAACCATCCTTCCCACTTTTGCTGCAAAATAGTAGTTCAATCTACATCTTGTCAACTGTATATTCATGTACTAAATCAACAAGTTGTGGAAAAAATAAGTTTTATTCAAGAAGTGCAACAGTTTTTTAATGATCTGAATAGACATATTTTAAATAAGTTTGTATATTTTTTACAATGCTATTGACAATGAATAATCCAGATGATTTGTATATTATTATACCCAACTGGTATAAAAAGTCCGACATTCCATGTGAATACTAGTTTTCACCAGAATAGTGATGTAGGCATATAGAATTATTACTGATGCATATTAATGCAAGTGAGTGATAAAATGTTGACGTTTTATTTCTATAAAGAATTTTTTTGTATAAATCACCTAAAATGGACACCTTTAAAGATTTTGTACCAATGACTGTTTTTTATAAGATTGACTCCTTTGAATCGAAGGAAGGAGAATGAATTTTTTTTTCAATTCAAATGTTAGACTCATGCAAGATAAGTGATTCATATGTGATTTCAAATCAAGCTATTTTGTAGTTCTTTATTTTTCATAATTACCACTTTCTTAGTCAGTTTCATTAAGCTTGTTATGTCCACCAAAGGAAAATATATTGTTTTTGCTAAGTTTCCTCTTCTCCAAAACACTAACCTCTGATCTGGCCAATGACCTGATTTGTTGACGTCTGTCACCATTGTAACTGGTGTTGGGTTACATCATGTTGCAATCTTATAGTAGGAGGGATTTAGACTCCTGTCTGACCATATATTTGAATGTATTTGTGTTGAGTAGTTTATCAAATTATAATATGTTATTTTGGAACTGATGATGGACATTCAGAAATACCTGTTACATTCAGCAGAGAAAACATTAAGTTTTGCCTTTATGTAATATCACAGTTTATGTTCCAGTTTTATATGAAGCCAGGGACCCTTGCCAAAACAGTTACTTCTGAATCAATCTCTTTATCTAATCATTAAGTTGAACTTGTGTGAGGCAAGGCTCATAACTCTAGAACTTTGTCTTTTGAAGAAAGTTTGAACTGTACTTTCCAACACAAGAAATTTTTACTGTACTTTTCTACTGTACAACTCCAGTCTTTGTCTATGTAGATGACACATCATTCAAAGTAAAAATCTTGGACAAGACAAATTGCCGAACGAATAAATGAAAAAAATACAAATCTTGGAGGAGGTATAAAGAGGTCATCTATATCAGAGCAGGGCCTTACATGCACCCATCCTTGAACAAAGACGGGGTGCCACAGACTTTCTGCAACCTTTAAATTTATAACCTATTTCGCAGAAAAATATAGTAACACTAAAGCATCGGTCACAAACCGCCGCACGTGCTTTTTGTCCGTACGTTTTTTTTTTGGGATCGAGGCTACGTCTGCTACGTTTTTTCTGAAAACGTGCGTTGTACGCTCTTAAGCTGTACAGGGCACGCGCGTCGCACGTACCGGTGGTGAATCCGCAGACCGCACGCATGAAAAGTTTTACATGCACTTAAAGTTCTACGGCGTGTCTGCGTGCTCCCGAATCCGTAGGATCCGTAGGTACTCCCCACTCACGGATGCCCTACGTTTGCCCACGTTTTTGCACGTAGGCAGCACGCAGAAGTACGTACGGTGGGTTGTGACCAAGGGTTTAGTGACACGTACATGTATACACACTATGCATTGCTTTGACCTGCTTGCACTAAAGTTGCAGTGCAGCCAGGTAAAATCTTCTTAACCCCAGGATTCTGATTTATATACTTCACATGAAAAAATAGAAGGAAGCAAATTAAAAATTATCTGCTTTGAAAACGTGTCATTGTATTATTTTTGGTGTTAAAACTGACAAGTTGAGGAATACAAGTTATACGGAATGTTGGACACATTACTTTATGAATGATTTCTCTTTACAATACTATTTTTTCTTCAACGGGATTTTATTCCCATATAGAAAGAAAATGAATTCATTATTTTGTACATTATTGCGGCTTATTCCAACCAACAACTTTGTATACATGATTTACACATATTATACATGATATATTATTTGTAATACGGAAACGTGAAAAAAAACCCAGAAGATTGCAAACGGTTTCCCGAACCGTCTATGCAAAATAAAGATAGCCTGGTTACCAAACCTATTATAGCTCCCGAGTACATCCTCTCCGCAAATAGAGGATGTAGGACTCGGGAGCTATAATAGGTTTGGTAACCAGGCTAAAATAAAGATTGTTTTTCCATGCACATGTAACAACGTACGGTATTCCGGTATTCTGTCTGACATACAATATCTTACGACGCAAAATTTATAGCCAAAAATGACATTACCCATATCAGTACTAGGTTCTTTTCTTAACGGATATCGCTGACAAAATGACCTCCAAAAGTTTCGTAGTTACTTCATTGGCTCTAGTAGTCTATGCGTTTGTTTCATACTTAGCAAACTTTTTATTTTCAAAAGTACAAATACTGCCGTGTAGATTTAAACTATCCTATGAACTATGTTCACAGGAATAAGGCCACAGCAAGTCAATTTTATGGATGACATCCTCTGCAGCCTTCAAATCTAATGCGAGCAGGCGAAAACAAAAAAAGGCGGGCCGAAAAAAACAAAGTTCCTACATTTTGAAATTTTGACTTAATCATTAATACAAATAGTTTTAATTCAGTGGGAACATCACATATACACAGCCAGCATCACATATCACTGCATCAAAGAAAACGACAAACATTAAATCAAAGAAATTCTTTTTTTTTTCCAAAATCAGGCGAAAATTAATGCGCGCGCTGATGTCATCCATAAAATTACTTGCTGTGGCCTAACAGAGAACGGCTATATCTATACACATTTTGCCGATACATATGAACCCCTGTATATTTTTAAAAGCATAGTTTGTAGTCTTATATTATTATATCCTCGATTAGTACGTGTATTTCACAGCGGTCCGGCGTAATCTTCACGTTTCAACTTCACGTTATGTCGCCGATGAGAAGTTCTTGATGAGTTCTTCAAACGCCTGTTGGCATATAACAAAAAGAAAGATATGGTTTTATAAATAATAAACTTCTAATCATCCGGTGCAATTTCTTGGCGTCAAAACAAAAATAAATAAATTCTGGATGAGGAAATCTCATATTGATATTGTTTATTGTCATAAGTTCATACTTGATGCGTTTGAAATAGCCCCAAAACAAGCTACATGAGGATTGCCTCAAAGTTTTTTTTGGGGGGGGGGCATCGCCAATAAATAGCTAGAAGCAGCCTACGATATAAAGCAAGCAACCGTTTCCTGTCAGGGATCGCATTTTTGCCTTACACATACAATTATGCTAAGGAACAGGGTTGATTAAATTTTCTACATTAAAAAATGACCCGTAATTGACTTGAAAATTAAATTCAGTTTTTGCCCGTCCTTAAAAATTGCATTTGGATCCCTTTAACAAGTACATGTATATTCTTAGCAAAAAGTAAGAAAACTATTAAAATAAGGTGTATAAACCAATCTTACTATCTTTTGCAAACAAGCAATACTTGAAACTATTTCTATTAATAATTTTGCACAAGGTTAGTATTGTTATGAAGAATTTAAACTGTTCTCCAACTCAAAATTTGACTCACCGGAATTTTCGACTGAATCACTCAGTCTTCCTCAGCTATCTGACCCAAATGCTGTGGACTCATGATTTTTCCCACGTGTTACGTCAGCAAAGGGTCAAAGGGCACTTCAACCATCGCTCAACCGGGACGGGGGGCGATATCGACTTCAGACAACCTTTGACCCTTTGCTGTCAACGTGATTCAGTCGAAAATTCCGGTGAGTCAAATTTTAAGTTGGAGAACAGTTTAAGTTTTTCATAATGTAATTTACCAACTCAGATGAACTTTCATGCTGAGGTTAGTATTGTGTGTACCTCTATCTCAGCTAGTGCGCTTGCGCTGATTCCGTCCTTCACGCCTTCCTCTCTGACGTCACGTGTTTCCGGGTCTGTGTTTGAGCGTCTTCTGACGTCACCGTCGCCTTGGAGACTGAGTGCTTCACTCACGTCTCTGGTTTCTATAGCTGACTGGTGCTTTTTCCTTAGGTTTCTGAAAGGTAAGACACAAAAATGTATGTTTTTTTTCCATCATGTTCGTTCGGGAGTGCCTTGTATAAAGAGCTTGGAGTAGAACAACAGATACAACAACATGACGTCATCAAACTTCAGTTTCGTCACTGCTACATATAGTCCTTCATACCATATTTGGCAACTTAGGCCACACAGTCTTAATTTTATGGAAGACATCCTCTGAAGACCCCCAAACTAGTGCGCGCGGGCGAATAAATAAAAGTTCCGGCCAAAAATAAAAATGCTACTAAACCACAGGAATACAAAGCTAGTATTGTGAATTTACGGCAGTACATAGTGACGTCGACATATACGACAAGCCGGCACATGCTGTTTTTTTACGGAATTTATGAATCGACACTGTACGTATGTACTGAGGTCTTGAGTCGTGGAGCTTCGGCAGCCTGTGTGCCATCCTCCAAAGTTACCACAGGCTCCGTATTGTCATTAACTACCATGGACTACCCAGGCATACTATAGAGCCAGGCCAGAGCCTCGGAGGACGTGATCTTTTTTTTTTTCTTCACCAAAAAAACAAGCAAAAATCAATGCGCGCGTGGATGTCATCCATGAAATTAAGTCTGTATGGCCTTACGTACTTTTGCTCCCCTTTTCTGATATACCCCGCCTTGTTACAGACAGTAGCATGTTGTTACAACATTCATTCCAACACCGTTTACTAAGAATACTTCTCACCTAGGAGATTTTGACGGACTCGGAGGACTTGGCTTCTGCAAACCTTCGTTCCCTCCTTTCAAACTCGAGTCCAGCACATGAGCTGTCTCCTCCTCAGAGCTGTCCTCTGGTTGGTCCACTCTCGTAACTCTCTCGTTTGTGATTGGTTCATCTAAGGTCCTGTGTTTCGCTGACGCAGCGGCTTGCTTTCGCAACATCAGAGGACTGGCGAGGGCGTCGAATATGCGGTTATGCGGGCGTTTTGCGTCCAAGGAACGGTGTTTGCGTTTTCCGAACGGGCTTGTTTTCTTCGGCGTGTCTAAGGACTGTTGTTTTCTGAGAGACCCTGGGCTGCTGCCAGGGTCAGACTGTTCATCTATGCTCCTGAGGGAATGGTTTCCAAGAGAGTCACTCCGCACGCGAAGTTCCTGTTCCATAATTCGGAGTTCGAGTCCTTTCTTGTACTCAAGACTGTGTAGCATCTCGGCCTGTGGGGGCAAAATTACCGTGGTTATAGCGTAGAATGTGTTGTATATACAAAGTTCTAGAGGTTATCTTGTTATCTATGATATTTTCTTTGTGTTAATATTGGTTTCTTATGATGTTATTACTCATAATAACTTATGATTTGACTAATGGAAATTTATTTTTTGTTCAATATGATATGTTCTTGATTGTCTTACTTTATTGTTTAGATATCTAATTCGCCGTGTTAACTTTATATCATCTTGTACCTATTTTGAGTTAATTTGTTTGCTTGTCCCTTAATACATTGCAAGTTAAATGTAAATGTAATAAATGTATGTAAATAAGAGATCGTAAAATTAATAGGATTTGGGAGAGTCCACTAGACAAACCTTTAGGTTTCTTGGGCTCTCCAGCATATATTTGCTTGTATATAATTTCATTTTATACTGTTACTTTTTCATATGCAAAATGACAATAATAATAATCTTCACACAGACAAATTCAGGAGTTATCATTCATCTCCAGATACTATAAATTTAGCTTCCAACACTTGAAATTTAGTTGTGTTTATACATGCAGTGTACTGAAATATGTCAAACAGTTAGTTTGACTAGTTGTTGTTGGTATCGCTTTTTGGCCTTAGTATTGTATGTAGGATAAGGTAAGATATCTAGTAGCGAGCGTAGAAAGGTAAAATTTGCAAAGCATGGTCTAGTCCAATTACTATACTGTGTATTATTACTCAAACACACGCATGAACATGTATTTAGTGACCAGCCCCTCCAATTCTGTCCTGCTTAATAATGTAACTCAATGCCAAAGGGTGTCTGCTACAGCACCAGTTAAGGTCTCATTCATGTATTACTCCTAAAAGAGTACCAAGTCAAAAACTAAACGGCTGTATGAACGCGTGTTTTTATTGGTGAAAATTTTCCCTTTAGCCATCCCAACTGATGTAAAACGTCAAAGTGGTGAAGCTTGTTTGTCACTGATGAAATTAGGACGTAATTGTCGGCAGCCGCGCGCTAGGTCGGACGTGCACAGTCCATTGTTGTGAGTTGTGCGGTCGTAGGTTTGCAGCGCGGGAGGGCCTCTTGCGGGCAGCCGCTAGTTGCAGTTTGTAATTCCCATAAAAGGGGTTGTGTGTATAGAAGTCGTTGGCAATTTTTTATGAGATGTAGAGTAAGTGTGCTCAACATAGCATGAAAGATATCAATTGATTTAATGTAGGATCATAGGGAAGACGGTCTCGTAAGTCACTCATTAATGCATGGTTTCTAATGTATCGAAAAAAAACTCATGAATGAGACCTTAATTATCATGCTGACAGCCACATGTTCAAGATCATTGATCTTATATGTGGATAAAATGAAGAAACAGTCCAACAATATGTTTCCTTCTGCGATGGGAAACATAATCAAACATAACGTCTATTCTAACCCATTGTCTGGAAGATGGTGTTGGTATACTCACCTTGTGTGTCTCGTTCACGGAAAGTTCCCTCGCCAGATCTGCCTGCCTTAACTTTAGCTCGTTCAACTGTTTGTTCAGGGCTTCCTTCTCAACATCGTCCTTTGCCTTTGACTTGCTCTTGGGTAGCTGTAATCTCCTGTAAAAAGAGTAGTATTTTTTTAAACCGAATTTAACGTCATTTTTCCCCAACCGGGGGTTAGACGTGCTTGCACCAGGTACAAGTCTTTTTTGAAGCAGGATTTTTACGGCTGGATGCTCTTATGACGTCATTGCTCTTCCTAACGCCAACCCAAACCATTGTAGGCGGCCTGGGATCCCTCTAACCATGGAGGTAGAACTCTTTTACCTCCATGCTCTAACTGAGGGGGGAAATGCATGTTAAGTGCCTTTCCCAAGGGCACAATACCTGGGTACATGTCCGGACATGTCCGGACATGTCTGGGTCCAACCCTGGGGATTGAACCTGGGTCTTCTTGCTTGACAGTCGGACGCTCTATCCACTACACCACACAGACGCCACTAGTACTACATAGGAATTGGAATCCCTTGTTTTAAGACAACGTTTTCTCTGGTAGAAACCACTGAAAAATTTGATATATTTTCCTGTGTAGTGTATGTGTATTATGTCCGGTGAGCAGTTTTCTCCGGCTGGTCAAGTTTAGTACCGCGCATTCTACCGTGCCGCAACGCCGCCTTGCGGAGTGCAGCAGTAGTGTCCATTGGGCAAAATTCACTTCCGAACGTTCCATGACGTCCTTTATACCACGCTTTCATGTCTAAAATCGTCGATCCAGGAAAGTCGCATGAAAATTAGCATGTGTTAAATGATTTGAAAACATACATCAAAGTGTTGATTCCATTGATTCATCATAGTATTCAATTTCAATGTTATCTGTGCTTTGCTTGTTGTATGTATTATGTATTGTCTGGTGGCGACACGAATATAAGTGTATCTTGAGTGTGTCGCCACCATGTCTTGTTATTATATGTTTCAATAAAAAAAAAGTGTTGATGTATATTTTCTATTTTGTATATTTTCTTTTTTGATCGACTTACTTGGTGATTCCGTCCACCTTGAGTTGTGCTGAGTTCCTCCTCTGGTTGAGGATGGTTGTTTTCCTCAGCGCACGGAGCTCCTCCTCCTCCTGAGCTCTCTCGTACTTGGCTGCGATCTCTTCTTTCTTTCTCTCGACCTCGACTGGCGAGGGGAGGACGCTCTGTGCGTCGTAACAGAAATGTTGTCAACAAGGGTACGTAAAGAATAAAGGGTATACACGAACATATACTAAGCTCCAGCTATAGATGCTGCCCCAACGGCTGACTAATGCTGAGGTCACATTTCCAAATCGGGGCCCGGCCGGGCAGCTTTTGGAACCGAGAAGTACGATATAAAAGACAACAAAACACAGAAACGTTTTTGATGATAATCATGGGCACTATATCTATATATTCTTGATATGGATTGTTATTTTTTCGTTCATACAGACAGCCCGGTCGGGTCCCGGTTTGGAAATGTGACCTAAGCATAAGCTATGGGAGTGAGTGAGTGAGTGAGTGAGTGAGTGAGTGGGTGGGTGGGTGAGTGAGTGAGTGAGTGAGTGAGTGGGTGAGTGAATGAGTGAGTGATAGTGAGTGAGTGAGTGAGTGAGTGAGTGAGTGAGTGAGTGAGTGAGTGAGTGAGTGAGTGAGCTATAGATGAATCATACATGTATGCCTCAAAACTTCGAACCCCTTGGGAAGACTGCATGCCGCGTCGATACGTTTACCGCTATAGCGAATTCGGCTGTGGTACAAGGAATCTAATGTCTACGATTTATCCATGAAGAAAATGAATTGGTATGCAATACTCTCTTGGCGAGTTATATGTCTACAGTAAGGCCATGTTGATTTGATTATATGGATGACATCCTCCGGGAGCCCCAAAACTGATGCGCGCGTGCGAATAAAAAAAAGTTTTCCAAAAAAAAGTTCTTTTCATTATGAAATCTACGTTGTCATGAGGGTTGAGCAAATGGCACAGAATATGGTTTGGCGAATAATCTAGTCTTCAAGTTCATTTCTTTACAATTTCGTCTTTTTTCGTTTGATTTTGGCACTTATGGTATATGGTATTTTTGGAACCCTTGTCCTGCGGAGCCCATATATATATGGGTTGCACATACAGTACCATCTATATAGTGCCCTGTATATGTACGATTTGGAGGTGTTTCTCGTGCAACGCATCACACCGCAGCGAAACGCAACGAATGTGGAAGTAACTACGCCACCGCGGGCCAAAAAAAGTCGAGGGTTTGTGACCTGATTAAGACATGAAATTATTTGAAAATATTATGTAAAAATTGCCAGCAGGACAAGGGTTATGGTATATTTTTGCTCATTTTGCAACTGTTTTGTACGATTTACAGTATGGTTGAAAACTTTTTTTTTTGGAAATGGCCGAAAATTCATGCGCGCGCGGATGTCATCCATATAATCAAATCAACATGGCCTAATGTAACGTTAAGCGTTGTTTTCCAGGTTGCACAAGTATATTTTATTGCATGGCACTGTCATCATCTTAAACCTTGTAGTTTGCAAGATATCAATTTTTTTCATTGATTAAAAACTGAAGTTACCTTCTTCTGCAGGATCTGTTCTTTTTGTGCCAGTACCTCGGCGAGTAGCTGTTGCTTCTGCAGTTCTCTCAGCTCCTGCTGCCATTTTATCTCAAGTTCCGTCCCCGACGTGTCAACACCTTTGGAAGAAGCATGAAAGTTCATCTGAGTTGGTAAATTACATTATGAAAAACTTCAACTTTTCTCCAACTCAAAATTTGACTCACCAGAAATTTTCGACCGAATCACTCAGTCTTCCTCAGCTATCTGACCCAAATGCTGTGTACACGTGATTTTTCCCACGTGTGACGTCAGCAAAGGGTCCACAGCATTTGGGTCAGATAGCTGAGGAAGACTGAGTGATTCGGTCGAAAATTTCTGGTGAGTCAAATTTTGAGTTGGAGAAAAGTTTAAGTTTTTCATAACCTTTGGAAGAAAATAACGTTAACGTTTCTATCCGAAGCTAAGTTCTGTTTTGGGTGGCTGTGGGTTTGGGTATATATGTCGATGAAGCTTAGACATCCAGGACTGGTGGACGTCCCAACTACTAACTACCTAATACCAGCCTAGAAGAGAACAAGAAGTAACCATGCCTTCAAGTACCAGAGTTATCAACCAAGGATTGAGGTGTTCAAGAATTTATTCTTTCCTAGAACTATCGCAGAGTGGAACTCACTGTCACCAAGTACAGTAGGGGCATCGTCATTAGATAGCTTTAAACCATGTCTAGAGTTAGAAGTTCAAGGGTTAAGTGTAAGAAATCGATCGGTGTGATATGGCCAGCTGCCGCCGCGCCGCGTGCCTGCGAAGCTGGTGTGTTACGCCGAAAGGCGGTTATACCGGCTATACAGATACAGAATAAGATACGCCAAAAAGCAGTTACTCAAGCAACTGGATATGATTTTGGAAACGCTCAGACGTTTCAGGTAGTATCTACTACCGTTCGAAAGCACATCCAGTTGCTTGAGTAACTGCTT